TTCAAAATACATGTTTGCAAATGTTCAACTTGTCGCTAGAGGGCGCTCGAAGATCGCTATGTGATTTGAAGAATACTTTTAGCCAAAAGACTAACACCGTTGAAAGCAAGTTCATATCTATTACCATTTTCAAATGATAAGCAACTTCATGTTGGGACCTTGATACAAGCAAATTGCAAATGAGGCTGACATATTATGCAAGGAAATCATAATAAGCAACTAAGTGTGAGCTTTGCCATAGTTTATATGAACAGAAAATACAGAAAGGTTGGTTGATACATCAGTAGCCTATGTATGTAAAATGAAGGGCACAAGTTTTGGCATGTATTTTTGTTAGTTAAGCATCATGTAAGTGAAAATCAACATACATGGTATACCAGGGATCTCCTCTTACTTATGAGCATCATACAGCATTCACTCTTTATTACATGTATGTTACTGTTTTCCAATCTGACGGCTCATCCCAAGATGTGAATGCAAGTGTGACGTCATGATAACGTCATCAGCCATCAGATCAAAAGCATTTCAACGTCATTTCAATTACAAATGAACAAAATTAACAATGCACCTCATTATTGAATACACATTTATTTTTTTTGTACAAAACTGGTCTCAATACAAACTGTTTATACGAGCCATCCAACGACGTTACGTTATCAAATCTGAAGATACATGTATAATGAAACAATTTTGTGCCAGATCAGCTTGTGTTTGAAACCGAAACAAACACGAATCTATCACTTCATTTTCTTGCAAAAAGTATAATAAAAGATTACAAAGTATTACTCTTTTCTGTAAAAAGAACAAAAGCCAGTGACATGGTCAATGTAAAAAGAAAAAAACAGTCAATGACATGGTCAATGTAATAAACAAATTATTCCTTTTGAACTTCAGCTGAATTTTATTGAATTAAAAATTCAAATGCAATGTACACAAAGGAGATTTAAATTGTTATTGATTTAGAAGTGCATATTATTGCAAAGTGAATATTTGTGTTTACCAAGGAGAAAGGTGCAATTTAGGAAAGTAATAATGAGCCTATACTTTACCTCATAAGTGGTCATCTAATCTCGAATGCCTATCCACGTTGGCCTGTGATCAGAATACCAGCTTTCTAGTGTTCCTGCATGAAGCTTATCTGTATCCAGGTTTGTGAAGATGAGGTCAAGTGTAGAACCATAATCTGTTGTTGGTTTGTGGATGAGTTGATGCAGGCCATACTTGGTTGATATTAAAGTAATAAGTCTTGCAGTGTCATTGTTTCCAGTACTGACATCAATATTAAAGTCTCCACCTAATACTAGTTTGTTGTAGAGAAACGTATCCAAAACATCCTGTAATGTGCTCAAAAGCTTCTCGACAAGTACCCGCGGAGGGCGATAAATACTAATGATGTTGATGTCTTGGTCAATATCTCCTATATTCCTGAGGATCACCAGTTCTATGCCATACGTCATTAAAGATGTCGTCTGGAGCCTTTCGATATTAACATTGTTTCGAACATATGTTATTGTTCCGCCATGTGGACGATGACTTCCATCCAGTTGTTGAAAGCAAATGTTTCCTTGAACAGTAATTGCGAAGTTTTCAAGTTTATAGTGACCTTTACTGTCTGTGGATTTCTCCCATGACTCTTGAAAAATGAGGACATCAGAACTTAGTAGGTTCTGATTTGATCGGACATCATCAATGTGCTTATGCAATGATCTTGTGTTGTGAAATACAACTTTGAATCTGTCTGCAAGCCTGTCCAGTAGCTGACAACTCCAGGTGAAAAATCTTTCGTAAGCGGTCCATTTCTTCCTTCACAGCTTGAGATACGACAATCTTGCTTGTATCAAAGTCACTGAAATACAGTCCTGACAAGCTTGTTACCCTGCTGAGGGCTACATACATCAAGTGAGCCTGATTGAAGCCTTTGAATGACAAAACAGCTTGATCCAGAGTGGTTCCTTGAGATTTGTGAACTGTCATAGCAGATGCTGGATGCAGGGGGAACCGACACCGTAGAACTTCAATTTGTTTGTAATGTCCAACTCGGAACTGTTTATTAATCTGGAACACTGGAGTCCAAGAAGCATCAATCTGGTCATGATTAAAATGTACATTGGATGCACGAGTTCGTCTCCCAACCCCCTGAAGGTCTTGATCAAACAAAAACCCATATTATACAAGGTACAACTGAGGATCCCTGCTGAGGTGACTCAATGTATTTAACAACACCAGTGGCTCCATTGGTCAAACCGTCCCCCGTGTCAACATTATGTACCAACATATATCTGCCATCAATTTTTACATTAAGGTCATACATCAAATTCTGCGTCTGCTGAGTGGTCATTTGTAAAACCTTAGCTAGCACAGTTTTCTTCAAACCACTTGTCACATCACCCAAAACACAGTCAGTTGCAAATATGTGCCGTCCAGCTGTTGACAGCGCACCAAGGGTTATCTCATTATGATGGTTAACAAGATCATGCTTGGTACACAAATTGAGAACATTCGTAGGACTTCTCACTGATTCTGAAACAATTCGACACTTAACAATAGTGATGTCATCATTTGTCTGCTTTCCCTCTTGAATTCTTTTGAGAGCATTGGCAAATGGCCGTTCTTCGCTTTGTCTCATAATCTGAGTAAGCTCAAACATAGTCACCAGACTTTCCCAGAGCACTGGGGCTAATGATGCATATGGTGTGGCCCCATGTTGAAATATCCACCTGTCTTTAACTGGACGAAGTTGAAAAAGATCTCCAACTAGCAACAGATTTATTTCACCAAAAGGTATGTTGTTTCCCATGACATTCTGCAGCCTCTGATTAATGAAATTAAACATGTTGGCACCAACCATAGATATCTCATCGATAATTACCAGTTTGATATGTCTCAGTTTTGACCTCAACGTATTCAGCCTACTTTGATCAAGTTGCCTGTATTCTAACTTTTGATTTGCTGGAACAAGAAATGTAGAATGTAGGGTACTGCCTTGTATGTTAAAAGCTGCTTTTCCTGTAGGTGCTGTCAGCAGAACTTTAGTGTCTTCTGGATTTTCTCCGGTTATTGAATCATAGTAATGTAATGTGTGATATATGGCCAATAAACAACGACTTTTGCCCACACCAGCTCCTCCAGAGAGAAACAAGCAGAATGGTTTGTCTCCAGTCTTCAGCAGATGAAGTATGTGGTATATAAATGCTTGTTGATCTGTATTTAAAGAGATCATCAGCTGTTTGTATTCATCTTTAGGAATCCTGTGTGGGATAAGATCTTGTTGTGTTTGCTGCTGGCCAGGACAGCCCAACACTTCCCCAAAGTCAGAATATTCATGTGTTGCAGAGTCTGGATGCAATACAGCCATGCTGTCGGCACTATCGCCATGATTTTCATCTTCGTCAACTTCTGTGTGACGTGTAAGTGGTACCATCTCATCCCAAGCTTTCTCCAATTGCTATTCTGTCTTTATTTCTTCAAGAGCTCTGTCAATTTCTTGTGCACTGTGCTCAAACTTGGAAGCTGTGAAGTTGACTTGACCTTTTAAAGTGTTGTATCTGTCCTCATACAATGAATAATTCATCAAAATATCGGTGCTTTCTTGTTTCCAGGGTATGTACAACATCAGTATTTCTCTGAAGTAGTTTTCTGGTTCGGCATCTTTAGAATATCTCACACATCTGATGATTTTAGGAAAGTGCCGTCTGTAAACAAAACTTCCATCACTTAACTGGTATTCCAGAACACCTTCTTCTTGTCTGAATGGATCATCAACAAAATCTTCCTCATATGTTAGTTCTGGCACTTCTTTCTTTGACTTCATTTTTTTCAGGACAAAATTCTGTTTTTCCCACTGATAACATAAAGCAAATTCAGCTAGCGACACCTTCTCCATCTCCTCGGGTCGAGATGCATACCTTTCAATTAAACCAGTGCAAACAACATCTGTGCAGTCCTCAGGCATTTGGTCCAGAATGGTGCCCTTTTTAATGATGACAACACGTTTACATTCTGGAGAAGTATTGATAAAATCTGTACCGCGACTTGCCCTACTCAAAGGAAGTTGAAGAAGTAGATAAACAGCTTCTTGAGCAGATATCTCACAGTGGTTCAGAAATGTATTTGCCATGAACTTGATTTGTTGCTCGACACCATAGTTGCCTCGTTTTGCGTCTTCACATGCTTGGTTGAGGAGACTCATACCTCTTTGGCTTTTCAGCATATAGGAAGTAATGTAGACAACACAGCCGTAAGCATTTAATATCGTCACCGTTTTCACGAAGAGCCACATATGTCAAAAATTACCATTTTTTCGATTTTGATTTTTTTCAATATTATGCTTTAAAACAATGTACTGAACCATTTTGACATGTTTTTGTAAGCAAAACATCATTAACTTCAAAGTTACATTAATGTTGCAAGGGGCCAAAATCTCGATAAATGAATTTTGCGTTTTCACGAAGAGCCACATACATTTGGCCCTTTGAACGCGTACAAAACCCATTGCACGGAAATACGTAAAAGTAGGTCAAATGAGATTTGCGTTTTCGCGAAGAGCCACATATCTTTGTTACATTTTCAGCTGCGCGCGCGTACTCACGCGCGCCTATTGAAATACACATTGAACAGAAAGGGCCAATATGTCAGAAACCTGAATTTGCGTTTTCACGAAGAGCCACATATCTTTACTAATTAATTTTCACTAATTAACTGCTGAATTAAGTCTTATTACTGGGTTCATGGAAAAATTCAGCTCACACAGAATAGTGTGGTGGTTTCCTTGCTTCACAAAGTTGTTGCAAAGAGGTATTTTTTGCAGTTTTAAAATATGAGAAACTTCTTTTGCGATTATCTCGAAAACACTTTTTCTTCAAAATCGACATATTAGACCAAGATGCATGGCCGATTATCGTGCAGGTTCGTGACGCATATCACAAATCTAAATATATTGTACCTTAAACTACTCACGAAGCTGTTGGGATGCTCACATATATAATCCACCGTTGATCCGTGACCCAAAACGGTACCCAAATCGCGATTTAAAGTTCAGATTTCCTCCGTTTTCGGCGCAAAAATTGCCGAGTGAAGAATTACGTCATTATTTTCCAACGACCAATCAGCGAGGCCCTTCTGTCGTGGTGCGGTGAATGGACCAATAGCGGGCGCTGTAAGTAAGAGTACGCGCATGCGCGTAAGCACTACTAGTAGACAACAAGATGGCGGCCGCCATGAGCTCCTCGGACGACGGCGATTCGGACGAAAAGAAGTGCATTGTGCATGTTTCGAATGGCGAATCGAGCGTTCCATCGTTCTTCGAGACAAGCTGGATAAAATTACTTGCTTGTGCTGGTAGTCGGAAGAATGTGGTGTGATCAACACACGCAGAAATCGTGGAAAAAGCGGAGAAGCTCATCGGCATCACGTGCAGACTGCAGTGCGTTGCACTGATGCAGCACTCTCGTGGAAGGAGAGTGGAAGGGGATACCGGAATCATCGGCCTACGTTAGTTCGTATTTTTATTCTTGCCTTGAACTTAATTATAAGAAGCTGTTGGATTCGAAATATTTCAGAATATTTTTTCTACAACCTAGATTCATATGATGTGTGATTTGTTTTGTAAAACATGTTTCTAGTAATATTTAGTAGACCATCTGACCGTCCATTGTTGACAGCATGATCTGATGATCATGGTCATGATGGTTGGCAAGGTTATGAAAAGCCACAGATCAAAGAATTGTTTCCCCTCTCACTCAGATATATGATTTTAAGACTAGGAAGAGACTCTTACATTACACTACAGAACATTGTATATTGAGTAGGCAGTAGGCCTATGCATGCTCCCTGAACTTGGCGACTGGATATAGAACGGCCGGTTCCCTTGATTTAAAAAATAAGGAGAACAAAATCCACTTCGAGTTCATACTTGGCATCATTGGGGATTCGATTGTGTAGTATGTTGTGGGTCTACTATTCAATTTAAGCCACAATTTGCTCGGTAATAACGTATAATTATCTAAGTACGAAGTCTTTAAAACCAACATTTTGCCATTCTTTAAGCTGGCAGCTCATTCATAGCATCCTCATTTCAACTGTACTGTTATTTCCTTGCTATTTTTTTTCTAGAAAGTATAATATAATAAAAAAATAATGAGAACCTGCCCACTTCTCTAAATGTCAAGCCCTCACTGTCAATATATTTAGATTTTAGATTTTCACTGTCTTTTTGCCATTTTTAATTTTTTTCCCCCTGATCACTACATGTGAAGAATAGTATACGGATAATAAATGTTTGTACCTGAAGGTGCCATGGTGTAAATATTTTTTGGTATGTTCCATTCTACGAGATGAAGCCGAGTTGAATGGAACATTTCTCTTTGACCCATAATTCTCCGATCAACTGACAAAGATTTACATTGTGAAATAATTGAAATGAAAGAAATGAGTGATATTTTTAAAAAAAAATTTCAATTACAGGCATTTGGATACCATCAACACATTCAGCAGTGCTACAAACGTATCTGTGATGTTTCCAGGATAGACCGTGCAGAAAGACTTGCAAAGAAACAGCAACATGAAAGTCAAGGTATTTTTGCCTTTTTTTCTATGGAGTCACATGAGCACACTCACTTGAAAAATATAACATGCCTAAAGCAGGGGCTGGTTGGAGATAGAGCCTTCCTCTACACAACTTTAGTTTGAGTCAAAGGTTTCATGATTTTGTAGCTAAATCAAATTGGAAATACTTGCAAACATAAACGAGCCCTACTTTAGAATTGACAATTTCTGGGAATTTGTTTCTCATACAATTTTAAAAAACATTCCATTCATTGCTAATGTTTATTTCTCAAGTTAAAACATGCAGTGCCTGTTGCACAATAAGAAAATGCAATTTGCAATTAAAAATTGCTGTCATTTAAGAAAGGGATTTTTCTCGTAATTTGACAACTTGCAGATACAACATATTCCAGATGGGAACTGTGATGGAGTCACTGATGCCGCCAAACAAGGATGCCTTGCACCTGCACGTAAAGAGGGCTAACTACCAGGCAGCCATACAAGCGGGCCCTGGATGCACGTCCTGAAGTGCCGTCTAGTCTCCACACGGAAGAGGGTGGAAGGTCATCGGCGATGACATCAGTATCCACTGGATGGATCTTCCCCCTGCCCCAGACAGTGTCATGGAATTTGCCCATTGCTCATGTAAAAAAAGTCAATGCACAAAAGGCCAGTGTAGCTGTCTTAAAAAAACTGCCATGCACAGACTTGTGCAATTGCACCAACTGTGAAAACATTCCAAGTGAAGGGCAGCGCAAAGTGATGATTCAGATATCGAGGATTAACTAATGTAAAATTGACCATCTTAACTAATGTAAAATTGACCATCTTATTATCTAAATAAGGAATAAGATTGTCACTTGAGAAAATTTGAATCACACAGTCTGCTTCCCATCCACTTAAGTATTTCCAAATATGAATCAAAAGGACTTATGTTTAACTAAGTTACATTGTTATAGATGTACACAGCTAAAAAACACCAAATTTCAATCTTATGTTTGAAATGGACACCGTTGACTTTGTTGCGGGATTTTTCCACTTTTTCAGCAAGGGGATGGGAAATAATTTTACCATGTGTTTTACTTTTTGACAATCCTTTTTTTTTAAAGCGCTGACTGTGAAGCCAAAGAAGTTTTTGTGGTAATTAGTAAGGGCTTAAAACAGGTTTATTCCTCTTCGGTAATGTTCGTGCTTACAGTGTTATTTGTTGTTGATCAAATAGACTCTATTAAGACATCATTGGGAGCTTTTGTTGCTGTAATTCTTTTTGGGGGGGGGGGTGCAGAAGATTGTCCTCCAATATGCTATGCAAAAGGCCTAAAAGGCTCTAGGTTGATGCCTTTGTGCAGAGAGAAATGTTTCACATTTTATTTTAGAGGTATTCACCAATCCTTTCATACATTGTACCATGTTCTCAACAGCAGTTCTGGTTTCTTTGAAGGTTAATGACATGTTTTGTGTTCTCCTTCGACCCTTCAAATGATTTGAAAAAATTTAGACAACGGAACTCACTAACGGATGTAGTGTCCAGATGCCAATGGATTCGCCGTTAAAAGATTCATGTCTGTTCACCATTTTTGCAATAACTAACCTTTGTTGACATGATATGAAGAAAAGAGGGTTGCCAGGTTGCAACAGTCCTTCCTGGAACGTGTTTAATATTTAAGACAGTTGACAAAAAATCAAAAGTACATGTAATTGCAGTATATTTTAATCCTCAAAAATATTGGCTCCACCAGAGACGCAAACCGCAAGCACTGTATTATAATCTTTGCCAATCACAGTAATTATTTCTCAAGTCTTTTTAATTACTGTTTACTGTATTGTTTTTGTATGAATAAATACCGTCAAAGGCTGAAGTTATAAAGCCCTGTGGTCATGTTTATTTTTTCATTCAGACTAAACTCATTCGTATTTGTGTCGGACACTTTGTTGAATGTTATTACATCATGAATCAGAAATACTTTGTAGTTTTAACCAAAAAGAAAATTATAATTGAATAATCATTAATACCCTATTAAGAAGTTCAGAAAAGAGCAATACATGTACATGTATTCTAAATGAAAATAAAAACAAAAGGAGGAAACACTTGCACTGAGGCTGGGAAAGGGCTTGTAAAATCTTCCTTGAATTTCAATGGGATGGAAAATTTGATATTTAAATTAATTATTGGAGCATTAAAAGTCACCCCAAGTTCCTTTTTATTGAGTCTTGGCTCTGTAGAGACCCTTGTTAGCAAGCAACAGCAATGAAACAATCTTTCCCATTGAAAATGTGCACAGTTTTCCAATCCCGGTCAATAGAGGGCGCCCTTTTTTGAACTGCTCATTAAAATGCAAATATTTAAATGATTGGTCACTTTGGGATTTTGGTTTTTTGTGATCCATATGGTCTCAGCTAATAACCTGCAAAAATTCACTTAGATTTGAGAGGTGCGCCAAGAAAATCACTTTCTGAGCACATTTTGCAGCCATGCCCCGTGGTCTATATGTGGCTCTTCGTGAAAACGGTGACGATATGTACTACAAATCTGTGTTTGCTTGCCAAGTTCGGGCACATGCATCATTGCGCATATTCGTACGGATTTCCATTGGAGTTCGTTTCAGAAAAAAACTTGTGTCTTCTTCAGCGAAGAACGTACTGCCCAAACATATTCATCCTGTGATAGTTTTAACTGTGATAACAGTTCTTCGAAAGAAATATTTTCACCATTTTTCATTAAGTGTAACTGTTGCTTTATTTTGTCGTAATTTTGCTGGTGTTTTGCTTTTGCTTCAGGTGGCACATTATCAGGCAGGGGCTCAAGAATTGATGTAGCAGACATTGGAGGAACTGGAAATCCAAATCGACATACAAGTTTGCCACCTTGTTTACAGGTCTTTGTGTGTTTGTGTTCATGTAACTTGGAAATCTCGATCTCAGCATCTTCAGTGTGTCTTTTACAGGTGATGTATTTATCTATGAAGTCGATGACAACATCATCAGCATCCCTTCCATGCTGGGGAGCACCTTTGATCCAAATTAAGCAACGTATGTGAGGGGAGCCACGCTGCTGAAATTCTACCCTGTAGAAAAAGTCATCAATTTGTCCAATCGGAGAAAGAGTGGATTTAAGTACACCATGAAAGAACACCTGAACTCTGTGATCAAAATGCCTAGCACTTCATACTGGATTACTCTGAATTAATTCAGATTTTTGCTGCCAAGTCAAATTCAAGATATCTCGATCAGAGAGAATTTTTCCATTGACACTGAGACTTAAGTTCTTCAGTAGGTCTCTCCATTTTGTTTCTGCAGCAGAGAACGATCAAAAATGATGGTATGCCCAACTGGCGGATCTTTTTGGCGAGTCTGCCAATATGGTGGAGATGAACGGAGTGTCTTCAAAACACGATAGCCCTGGTTGACATGAATTAAATCATCAAGTGCTCCTGGTTGTCTAAGATATCCAGCTGTATATGTATCACTGACATTTGTTGTTTTACGCAAAGCAGTCATTGCCAGATCTCTGATCTGTAAAGTTTGAAGTTTCTTCAGTTTAAAAAACAAATTGGGAACTGACATAGCAAACCGTCCGTCAGCACTGCGAAGTTCGGGTTTACAAATTGAGCTATATGTAAGTGGAGTGGTGCGTTGTGTATTATCCAGCCTACGTGTACCACAGAAGAGGGTGGGAAATGACTTCTCCTCACAATATTTATCCAAGAAAATATTGATGGGATGATTACCTTCTCCTGGTGCTATTTTCAATGCATGTTGTCCATCACTTGTGAAGTCATTGGGGTAAAGCATTGTGTCCCTATTACCCCCTAAAAAAATGCTCTTCAGTGGAAATTTCAGTCCATTCGTCAGACTCTTTATTTCGATTCTCACCACTGATATCATCGTCATCATCCAAACTGGCCTCAATGTTGCCAACCTGTGTATCTACATTCATATCCAGGTCATCATGTTTTGTTATGAAGTTAACTTTTGTCGTGGCATTCCACTCTTGATTCTTCTAGGCCATATCTAACTGTATATTTTCATCTTTGTAAATCGGACTGTTCTTCACAAGCCATTCAGCAGCATCAAATATTTTCTTCGGTCGCACAGTTTCATAGTGATGTGGAGTTTTATATTTCAATCTTCTCATTAACCTCAACTGGATTGTCTCCGTGTCTTGAAATGAGCGAGGGAGTGCAGCTACAGTTTTACACACATCAACAGGTACATTAACAACATTCCCCCTGATGCCAAATTGGTGGTCTCTCCCTAATTCTCTTATCTGCATAAATGGAATACGGGTGATATACATCTTTCCTCTAATGTAGTCAAGTTCTTCAGTGTAGCAGGAACATCTTCAAAACAAAGACCATTGGCAACTGCCATGGATGGAAGTTTATGTAGCAAGATATGAGAATAACATGTTTTGCAGATCCACTCAATTCCAGCTTGGCTAACTATTCCACGAAGGCAAGAATTGAGGAGAGTGGCTTGAATGTTTTTGGATTCCAATGACATCTTTGAAGCAATGTTGGCACTGTGTCGATAAAATAAACCACAACAATAAATTACAACATGTGCAGACATAATTTGGCCCTTCTTTGGTGTCAAAGAAAAAAATTATTTTAACTTCTGTCACAGAGAGCGATCTTTGCTTTTGTTGTTGCTTTCTTGCTTTGTCAAGTTGCCTTTCACGTTAGAAGTAGCTTGTGTTTATTTGCTGGTTTCTTTTCAAGATTCTTTCATGATCATTTGCTGACTTATTGCGTTTGCATTTATTTCGTTTACTCCGCACAAGTTCCAAGTTTTTTACTCTTTGTTTACTTCTGTATTCTGGGTCACTTCTTCTTATATGTAAACTTGTCAATTATTCTACTCTTTCTTTACTTTTGTAGCCTGGGCTACTTCTTCTTCGACGTGCACTCTTCTATTGTTTTACTCTTTGTTTACTTCTGTATTCTGGGTAACTTCTTCTTCTATGTAAACTTTCAAATTCTCTTTCTTGTTCTTTACTTCTGTAATCTGGGTTACTTCTTCTTCTTTGTATACTTTCTAATTCTTTTTCTTTTTCTTTACTTCTGTAGTCTGGGTTACTTCTTCTTTGTATACTTTCTAATTCTTTTTCTTTTCTTCTGTAGTCTAGTTTACTTCTTCTTCTTTGTATACTTTGTAATTCTTTTTGTCTTTCTTTACTCCTGTAGTCTGGGTTACTTCTTCTTCTTTGTATACGTTCTAATTCTTTTTCTTTTTCTTTAGTTCTGTAGTCTGGGTTACTTCTTCTTCGATGTACACTTTCTAACTCTTTTGCCCTCTCTTTGTCTCTGATCTCTGAAACGTCTCTTCTTTTCTTTTTGCAATTGCTTTCCCACACAGCTTCCTTTTTCCTAAATTCTGGGTCTTTTCGTCTCAGTTGCTTCCTCGGGCGATCTTTTTCTCTTTTAAGTTCCATCTTGCTTTCTTCCGTTTGTACTGTTTGACTCGATTCACTGGATAGGCGATCTTGATTTGTCGACTGTTTTCCCGTTGTTTTGAGAGTTTCCGTTGTTGTGGGAGTTTGACTAAAGCGATGTTTAGCCATCTGTGTAGACGATTGGCACTTGACACTGACCTGTTTTTTCTTAGAAGCAAATTGTAGCTGCTGGTTGAATTCCCGTACAAGCCAAGTAAATTCTGTTGTGTTGTTTTTAGTGCGCATCTCCATGAGAGATGTTTCACCAGGCTGATGAACGCTCAATACTGCCTCAAAATGGTTACCATTCTTGTGATGAATATAGAACGATCGGTCACTAACTTGGGCATTTCTATCCAGCATCTTTCCTGTAAATTTATGCCATCTGGGATTTGCAGTGTTGTTGTGTCCAGCTGAGTAAACATAAATATCCGTTCCCAAAAGATGAGCAGCAGTAAATATCTCCACATCAGTGGCCCATGAACCATCCTGTAACATATTACTCCGAGCTAAATAAACTGGTAAAGACGTCCTTTCATCAAAGCAAAACTTCTCCACAGGCAACCTGATAACATTCATGTGGGACACAACCAAGCTTCGCAATTCACCATGAAATCTTTCACTTCCTGTAACTAAATAACTGAGAGTTCTAAAGAAACAGTTTCCATCGCCAATGATAGGTGCAATCGATGCCGGGTTCCCTGCTAAGTGAGCCAAGTTACACTCGGGTAAAATACTGACAAGTGGCAATAACAATTGTTGACAAAGTCGCATCTGCAAACCTACACCTATTCTATGAAATGCAAAGCTCCGTTGACTTCTGCATTGAAAACTAACACTTTCTAATTGTGTTTGACTGTCATGATTTATGGTGTGTTTTGCCAGTGGAGATGACACACGTTTGGTACCGGTAGTTTTTTGCTGCGATAGTTGAGACTGGTCATCAGGGTGGGTAGACTGTGAGGAAAAGGAATCCACAGCAGTAGTCGGTAGTTTTCTTGGATTAGGGCCTTGACTCTTCACAGCTTCTGCATATGACACATGTGGTGTCTTTGATGAAGTATGGGGATTGCATTTGTGATGTTGAAGTCTCTGATATGACGAATAAATTCTGCTGCATTCACTGCACCACGTACACTTATGATTCTGCAGGGTCTTGGCACTCTTGTATGTCTTGTGGCATGAGTGGCATTCCATTGTTTTTGATGAAGATGAAGAGAATTATCTGTCAAAAGAAAGTAGAATATAATAACTTGAAACTGCAGCAAAAGATCTTCTGGTGTGCCATTCAAAGATTGTGTGGTGACAGCTCAAAAACACCATTTTGATAGGCAATAAAAAGATCACCTTCTTCAAATACAGATGAATCATTTATCTTTTCCCTGTGACTCAGCTTCCACTTTAGACTCTACTTCTGCCAAAGCTTTTAATAAGGAGTCATCATCTTCATCATCGGTACTGAAGGAGGACTGAGAAATTCCTGACACATTTACATGTGTCTTTGCTGAAGAATTTGATGATGAGTAGGAACAGATTTGCTTCGATGAGCAGGAACTGGTACCTGGGGAAACATTGGCAACCTTTAAATCAGGATTTTTATTATTTGGTGTAGAGGTTAGATTTGTTTGTCTAGATCATAGGTACTTCACTGAACTGTTCACGGAACAAATCTTTTTAGCCATGTTTCCATCATAAGGCAAAAAAAAGTCTCCGTTTTCTGGTATGGAGCTTGCCCCAAAAGTGGTGCGGCGACGCGGCTTTTTTTTTTGGCTGTTTCGGCACAATTGCCGAAACAGCCTTTGTTTTCGTTAAGATTTTTATTTTATTCTTTTTTTTTCTTCTTTTTCAGCCATTCCCCATAGCATTCGTACACGTTTCTACAGTGGAAGGCACTTTGGGCACTAAAATCAATCCGATTGACTTTATACTCGGCACACACTTAGACCAGCATCTGAAGATGTGCCCCAAAGATTGACGTCATGGTGACGTCATCGACTAATTTATTATAGAATTTTGAATATTTAATTTTTCCCATAGACTTTGTACACAGAAATTAAAAAAAATTGTCGGTTTTCAAAGGGCATTTTTGACTCTTTGTCAGTAATTCATTTGCACCAATCTTTGTCCAAGCAAAGACCCTAATTCAAACAACTTTGTGTAATGATGACGTCATGATGACGTCATCCGGTGTGTAGTTATAGGCAATTAAATTGTGACACTTTTAATATTTAAAAATGCATAAGAAATCAACCGTACGCGTCCGCAGCATTCTGTTACCGGCAAGTGGTAGAGTAGGTTAAGGTCTTTATTTCATTCAGTGTGCGTGAAATCACGTGACCCTTGCTACCGGTCGAAAAAGGCCAAAACCGGAAGTGGCTTATTATTTGAAAATGGTAATAGATATGAACTTGCTTTTAACGGTGTTAGTCTCTTGGCTAAAAGTATTCTTCAAATCATTTACCAATGACGTCATGCAATCTTCGAGCGCCCTCTAGCGACAGGTTGAACATTTGCAAAAATGTATTTTGAATAAATGTCTGTGGCGAAGTTTGTCGGAATCGCCTAAATATTGGTGTATATAATGACCTTGACCCACTTAAGACGTGTGCGAAGTATTAGGCGAATGACGTCATCAGACCGGAAGTTATAATAAAAAGTCCCTTTTTCATTTGAAAATTCCTGAAAAATCAACCATGGCAGTGTTTATGTTAGTTTTTACTTTAATTGTCGATTTCAGGGTAGGTTTAACTTATTTCAAAGCTTCGAGGCAATAAGCGAACTCGGACATGCCCTGCGCACGCTTAAAACTTTAGGGTGACAATACCTCTGCTCTAAAACATGCACAGAACGTCTATATGTACATGTACGCACACGTACGTTACGCACATACATCGTATGTCAGCCAGCCTGCAGAGCACGTGTTGCCAAAGTCAAATCCTGTCCACATCACAGTGACCGTTTAAGCCCATTTTCGGCTAACTTTGACAGATTTTATGTTCATGCGTGGGCATAGTCAGGGACGTATAATAACAAATCATAATGCCGAAAAGCCCTATGTTACGTATTTAAAGGTGCAGTTTTTTCTGCAGTGGGATTTTCCACAAGTCTTTTTGTATACATCACTGATATCTTACTGAGTAGTTCTGAACTTAAGCCGAGAATTACTATGAGAAGGAAAGAGAAATCGTATTTTTTCGCGCTGTCATTCGATTGAACATATTCTAAATTGACCACAAGCGTGTGGCATGATGTGGAAAAAAATAAACTTTTTTCCAAATACGGTGGGTAATACTGCCAAAACATCCCCTTCCAGTGCATGCTTTAGACACATGTGATTGCATTGGTTTTAAATACTGATCTTTGGCATTTCGCCTTTTGTTGACTTCCGCCAATGCCATCTGAGATTGCTTTCAGTTTCCTTTATTTTGTAAACACCCATATACACTTATTTTTGAGCACATTAATACGAACTAAGCCCGCATCGCAGGCTTCGAGGGGTAATGAATAAAATAAATCGCTACAAGGAAACTCTTTACTATTTATAACTGGGGAGAAACCTTGAATGAAGACCTGCTACAATTGGAGTCTTACGTAACATTAAATGGCCATTATTCTATTATATGGTCTGTCTGCAGCACAATACTATCAAATTTGGTTGTAGCTTGGTATGAACCTAAGCCGCCATGTCATATACATAAATCCAACCGACGTCATGATGAAGTCTTGACATGACATCTCACTCACATTAAAGCTGCATTTTCTACAGCCTATAAATCTACATTTGCATTTTCTTTTTACTACACCTGCATTACCTATCAGTCTGTAATATAATGCCGAAACAGCCCTATGTTTGTCCACAAACATATGTCTAGTTTTTTACCTGTTTTTTTTTTTATATTTTTTTTTGGCTTCAAATGTCGGCTGATGACTGCAAATGGTGCCCGACTAAACTTAGTGCAAATAAATGGTAGTCCAGAGAGGCCACATAAAGCTTATTCTCGATCATAACCCCATCTAAAAACACGTTAAAATTGTGCAGCAGCAGGATTCCAGTCAAACCAGTGAGTTTGGCGGTTTTGAGACATCATCTTGTATTGAAAAAAAAACTTTTTCATTTTGCTGACGCGCATGGCTACGGCGACGCGCGCGCATACCAGAAACCGGAGCCTTTTTTGTTTGGCCTAATCCTGTATTTGTCTTTTTAAGGTTTTAACATCAGATTCTATTCTATTCATGGTCTTTTGAAGATCACTTGTAACAATTTCTTTGGCTTCTTTCATATTTTTTGCATGGTCTACCTTATAGAGGCAGGCCAAAACAAAAGCGTCCACCGTAGTTTTGATGTTGTCCAGATCTTTGATGATTTCTCCTGCCATGTGATTCTTTGTCGGAAGCTCTGCAACAGTAAGATTAGCATTAAAAAGAAGTTTAAAAATGTCTTGCATTTCATTATATCCAATGAATCCGTAGAAATTATTTAAATTTAATAACTAGGCCTTCATGCATATTTCAAGTATTAGTTAGACTACATGTAACCCTGTATGCTAGAACTCACCAGTCTCCTTCTAATAATAGGCTGAATATTATCATGTTTTGCTTTATCGATTAGTTTTACATAATTTGGATAATTTGAAGCCTTCTGTGATACTAACACAACTGCAAAACTACTGACGTTGTAAAGTTTATGCTTATAAATGGCCCAATTAACGTTACTTTTTGCCATTAATTAGAATTTTGAGCTCAAGAGTGAAACCGTCACCTAAAGCTAATCAACATAATAATAATGCAACAACCACAACTTGTGTGTGTGTGTGTGTTTAACTGGATTGTTGAGCAGAAACACATTAAACAGAAAGGGCTAAAATATAGGAAACTTGAATTTTTGTTTTCACGAAGAGACACATTCTAATTAGTGGGTTCACGTACAAATTCAGCTCGCATAGAATCATGTGAAAGTTTTCTTACTGCCCAAAGTTGTTGCAAAGTAGTATTTTTTGGCAGTTTTAAAACAGGAGAAACTTCTTTTGTGATAATCTGAACGCTTTTTCTTCAAAATTCACATATCGTCACCGTTTTCATAAAGAGCAACATGAAAATTATGTGGATTTTGAGGGGAAAAAATGTTTTCGAGATAATCGCAAAAGAAGTTTCTCATATTTTAAAACTACATATAATACCTCTTTGCGACAATGTGCAGCAAGGAAACCATCACATGATTCTATGAGAGCTGAATTTTTACATACACCAAAATAAGACTTACTACAGCAGTTAAATGGTGAACATTAATTAGTACAGATATGTGGCCCTTTGTGAAAATGAAATTTCAGGTTTCCCACATTTTGGCCTTTTCTGTTCAACATGTATTCCCATAGACGCTGAAAATGTAACAAAGATTTGTGGCTCTTCGTGAAAATGGAAATCTCAGTTGACCTACCACTGCGTATTTCCGTGCAATAGGTTTTGTACACATTCAAGGGGCCAAGATGTATGTGGCTCTTCATGAAAATGCAAAATGCAAACTTATCAAGATTTCTGCCCCTTGCAACATTAATGTTGAAATATGTCCAAAAAAATAAGTACATATGTACAT